AAAAACCTGCTTTTTTTACTTTCTTTGCACTGTAAAGCAAATTTTAAAAGTATATTGGTCTGCCCGGTAGATCCATAAATGCTAGTGGTGATCCTAACAGTCATTTGCAGATTAGACTACTAGCTGCTTACAAATGCAGGGATTTTTACTAGGAATAACAAGGTTTTAAACAGAATCCCCTTCTGTATTACAGTTTGTTTCTGTGAGCAAAGACTAATAAAGTATAGAAAAAAGGGAGAAGCAGTAGTCTTGGGATTGAAGTTTCATGTTTGTCATCACCAGGCTTTGTAATTACAGCTTACAGTCATGTCGCTGAAAGCTACAGTTTTTCCTTGCTTACTTACTGATTAAAGAAATTGCGGAGGGCATCCAAGTCCATTTGCTTTCTTTCTCTTGTCTTGTTTTCACCTCATATCCTTCCTTTTAACTTAAAAAGAAAAATGAGTAAGAGTCTTTGTTGCTCTTTTTCTTTATAAAAGCACTGAATAGCACTTCTTTGGCTGAAGCATTCAAGGCCAGGTTGGACGGGGCTCTGAGCAACCTGATCTAGTTAGCGGTGTCCCTGCTCCTGCAGAGGGGTTGGACTAGATGACCTCTAGGAGTCCCTTCCAACCCAAAACATTCTATGATTCTATGATAGTTGAGATTCTGAGCTTCCCAATCTGTTGCTGTCCGTGACGGAGGAGAGAACCTCCTGAGGGGTATCTTCTTGTCAGCACCATCTTATTGGCATTTTCACCACCTCTGAGTCATGCCCGGCCTTTGTTGGAGAAAAGTGGAGAAGAACATAGCCTAATCCACAGTTCTGAGATGCTTCACATAGGTTATTGTGCCATTTTGTTATGTATGTTGTGGTAGGTTGTTTTGCTGTGTTCTTGAGAATATACTAGTTCTGGTTGAGGGAGGTGGAGAACTGAAGGGGGCTCTTTTGGGACACGCTACTTTCCAGGAAGTTCTGTTTCAACTTTAAAAGGAATAAAATGTCATTATGGCCAGGACTGTAGCTCTTAGGGGGATGCTGTGTGTCATCAAGTATGCACAAATTTTGGGGGGTTTGCCGCCTCTTCTCAATCATCTTCACCTTTCTTGCTTGTAGCAGTGAGCTCCAGCAGTGTCTGTTGAACCAGGAAAGAGAGAGAAACTCGGATGAAGCGAAGTATTGCTGTTCTTGCTGTGCCCTGAAGGGCTTGCTGAGCCGGGGAATTTTTCCTCTTGCCTTGAAGGAGGTTATGAAGTAGCGTCTTCTCTTTCTCTCTTCTCCCTCCCCCCAGCCAGCTGGATGGTCATTCTTGTGCTGCTACAGTACCGAGCATTTCCCTTGCAGCTGGAAAATGCTGTGTCACTGGCAGGAACACAAGCACAGTTGTTCTTGGCCGGGGGTCCCACACACAGGAATTGTGTCGAATTCCAAGACATAGGGGGCAAGTGTATTCCTTTGTAGCTTGCACAGTAGGCTAACAGCTTCGTATGAAACACCGATGCCTAGACGTGATGAATAAATTAAAATTTTCAACAAATGATTTTTTTGCATTCTAAATTTTCCTCTCCCTAAATTGATCTAAGCATTGAAAATCGAAGAAAACAATGATGTCACTCTTCACTGACCTACATTCAAAGAGCAAACGATGCAAATGAAATTCAAAGAAGAAAGTCCAAATGTGATGTTCTATACCTTTGAGCTTTTCAAGTTGTTTTTAACTTTTCCCCACATCTTGTAAAAGGAGACATAGTTTACCATTTTATCTTTATTGAAGGCCGGTTATGTTTTTACAAGCATGTTATAAACCATGCGTGCTAAGGGAGTCCTTGTTTAGAAGACAGCCATTCTGGATCCACAGAAAGGAGTCAGAAGGTGGGAGGTTGATAATTGAGTCAATATATTTAAGTATCATTTGTCTTTCCTAGGGAGTGTGACAAAGTGATTCTGTCCACAGTTTTATTAGCTGAATTATGCTGTTAAACCAAATTTTCAAATTGCACGTTTTACAGGGCTATTATAAAAAATGTGCTCCCTTGGAGAAGGGTGATATTGAACTAATAATGAAACAGTAATCTTAATGGTAATTCATCAATGCACATCTATTAACGTGAACATTTTCGGTGTTGTTTTTCAGTAGAGCAAATATTTGGGGGGGCCAGAAATGCAATGGTCTCCTCAAGTTCACCTGGTAAGAAGGAAAAAGAAACTTCTAAAGTGTGAAATTTTCAGTCTTGGGGAAGGATTTGCCTCTCAGTGCAAATGATTCCATGTGAAGAATTAACATTTTTAATTTGAGATAACACCCTTCAAGCTTGAAAGCTGCATGTAAATAAAATTTAGGAGGAACTGTAGTTTCAGCTTAACTTGGAAGATATGTAAGCCTTTAATTTAATTTCCCCTTCTCTACCCAAGGCTGGCAAGACACTTGTGGATGTGTGCTTGACTGAAGCATGACTGATTTCTGCTCTGTGAATGAGGTGGGGAGAGAAGTACAAGCTCGCAGCTGCCTGTGAAAATGAGCTCCCTCTTTAAATTAATTTGATACAGCATTTTCCAAGATTGTAGTGGTTCCTTAACATTATGTTGTCTGAACATAGGGATTACTTCAGTCTGTGTGTTGTTTTCTTCTCTCTTTAATTTGTCAAAGTCCAAATTAGTGAAAATTTTCATGAGTCTCCTGACTTTATAATGTTCTGTAAGTGCATGGAACTAGAAGTATCTCTTCATCTGGGTAGGTGACTGATTCTTACCCAAATTTAGGGGCCTATATTTAATCTGATTGTCTAGACTCCCTTAACAGACCGTGGAGATGCAGTCAGTTGTGTTTAGAGCATAAGACCATTGGCAAAAAGCGGGTATTTGCTCTAAAATGAGATGGATTGCAAGTGACTACCATTTCCTGCAATCGGAAGCTAGGGCGACTTGCCTTGCTTTTCTTAATAATGACCCTTTGAGAAGCAGCACATGGATCTTTATAAGTCTGTGGGTCAGAAGCTGCAGATAACTGGACTAGACCACAGAAGCCAAGCTGTTGTGATGTTCTCATGTAAATTCTCAGTTCCCCTGATGAAACCAGTAACTGCCATTTCCACCTGCTCCAGTCTGAGTTTTTGTCAACAGGGTTGCACATGATAATGCAGAAAAAGTCACACCATCCTGAAACATCGCTTACTCTTTTTCCTTCACTCCATCACACCAGTGATTCATAACATCCTGTGATCGACTTGTGTATCTGGATCGTCATCTGTTTTAACAATTTCCAAACTGATGAATCCTGCACTTAGAGGAAAAGTCTTTATTATTAGTCACTGTTATCAAGACTTTGCATCTGCTTCTATTCAGTTTCACCCTATTCCTACTGTTCCATCTTTCAAAAAAAATTTTATGTGATGCTGTAATCTTCTTCTCTGATGCATCTTAGCTTCTTGCCATCAGCAAATTTCCCTGGCACTTGAGTTTCCTTTTTTTTAATATCAAAGTCACTGGTGAAAATGGTAAACAAGGCAACTTTCAAGGCACTTGCAATTTCTAAATAAGTTTTACTGAAAGATTTGGATCAAAGGAATGCATAACTATGTTAATGGGAGAACAATTTCATCAAGGGAAGATACTGGCTGTACCTTTCATGGGAACAGATTGAATTTTAAATTAACCTTCATTGTTTACAGAACATTTAATATTCCTTGAATTCTGAGTCTGAAGAAAAAAATCTCCTTTCATTCCCAGGGAGGAAACGTTTCTTCCTGACATTGCCTGCTCCAAAGTTAAAAGCTGCAGTACCAATCAAACTGCCTCAGCCATCAGGGATCAGCTGTACAGGACAGACAGGAAGCTAGGACTCAGCTTTGACCCAAGAAGTCTAACGTTGTCTGTCAGTGTTAACACCCTCACTAAGGTGTGTCTGATAGAGCCACACACTAGTTTATTTCTTACAGTGTGCAGTTAATCTAGTATTGTAGGTGACCTGGCTCTGACTGCTGAAGATTGCAGTCCCGTGTCTCCTGGGGAGCAAATTTGTTAAAATATCACTGTGTCCAGTAAGTGCGCAGTTCTGTAGCGTACCCTACGCATCTGAGGACTCCAAGTTTCCATTGTACCAGGATGACGGATGCATTTAAAATTTTTATTAGTTGTTGCTTACATCTGCTTGTGCGTCAAGGCTTACTTTGTTTTAATCTGGACCCAAGAAGTTTGAAAGCATTTTGGTTCTTCTGAATGGTTTTGGTTTTTTTCTTTTGTCCATTACACTGACTAGGCTTCAAACAAATATCTTCGGTCTGTTTGGGATAGAACGATGCATACCTGGGAACAATAGTAGCATGTTAAGCTAACAGGAGGTTTATGTTTTGATGGGTTTTTCGTTTGTTTGTTTGGGTTTTTTCTCTTTCATGCATGCTTTGATACTACAAACCACAGTCTGGTCTTAGCTTAAGCATTAAATAAGCTTAAACTAGAGGTTCATCACAGGAGGGTTTGATTCCACTAGATACACGGCAGAGAAAGATTTATTTGTCCTGTTTCTCGTGGTGGTGGTGTTATTCGTGCATGGTTTGATTTCTTCCTACTTTCATATAATACCACAATAGGCAGTTAGCTTCATGATAAGAACAAAACCTTGGGGAAGATGATGTTATATGGCAATAAAAAAATCATGTCAGCTGAGAGTTGTGCTGTGAAATACATGTTGTTTTTTCAAATAAAAGTGTTGCCAAGACTTCAGGATTTCTTTTTGTAAAAACCTTACAAAATACACGCTCCAATAAACCTTAAGAAATACATTTTTGTGATCAAGTTGCATCAATCATTTCTTCCTGGCTTCAATTGTGAGCAGCTTTGAAAGCTAAAGTTTCTGAAATTGTGTGAAAGCAACAGTTTTCTTCAGCACAAACTTTTCAGTATGATTAATTCAGAAGAGTGGATTTCTGTGATCGTGTGCCTTCCCTTAGCTACAGGTAATTTGTATTATTTGCCAACATGAGTAATAAAACATTTTTTTCTCTCATTGTCTTTCCCCTTTCAGATCCAGCTATGGGATACGGCCGGCCAGGAGCGCTTCAGAAAGAGCATGGTGCAGCACTATTACAGGAACGTACACGCTGTTGTGTTTGTGTATGATATGACAAACATTGCCAGTTTTCACAGTCTGCCATCTTGGATAGAGGAATGCAAACAACACCTTCTTGCCAATGATATACCACGGATTCTCGTTGGAAATAAATGTGACCTGAGGAGTGCTATTCAGGTACCTACGGACTTGGCCCAGAAGTTTGCTGATACTCACAGTATGCCATTATTTGAAACCTCTGCCAAAAACCCCAATGACAATGACCATGTGGAGGCCATATTTATGACACTGGCTCACAAGCTTAAAAGTCACAAGCCGTTAATGCTTAGCCAACCCCCAGATCGCAATGAAATATATATAAAGCCTGAACCAAAACCTGCCATGATCTGCTGGTGTTAAATCGTATTATTATCAGCTGTCACCTTGTCTCGTTTGCAAATGCTTCAAAATTATGATCTTGGCAAAGTTCCAGGTTTTGGTAGCAATTATAGTGTAACTCTTTGGCACTTTAATGTGGTTTGTTTGGTTTTTGGTTGGTTTTTTTTTTTTTTTTTTCCTGGTGTAGATGTGCCCATCTCATATTCCTGCACTTTGTAATTGTACTTTCTGAATTACTGAAGTTTCACTATAAATACTCGGGAAAGTAAACTTTCAAGTGAAGTTTTGACAAAGCAATTCTACTTGAGCTCTTGCTGCCTGAGATTGTTTCACTACTTATAAGGTTATAAATAGTAAGCCAGTTTACCAGCATTTTTGGTTGCTACTTGTGTTGGAATAATGTAGGAGAAAAAGTGTCACGTGACAGCCAGATAGCTTGATTTTTGGGTCAGTGAGGGGGAGACTTTTGGTATATGAAGGAATATTTGGGGACTGCTAGCAAATTGCTAAGTGAGTAACTTTTTTATTTAAAAACAAAAACCAGGGCTGTCAGATGAAGTTTGAGCTGTCAGTGTAGGTGCAAACTGCTAGCTTTTGGCCTGTCATTCCACTGTAAACTTTGTTTCTTCATGGCAATGGTAAAAGAATTGACGAATTTGTCCCTACCTCTAGACAATTATTTGATTCTTAAAACTTCATTAATTTTTCATAAATAGCATGTAAGCCTAAACTATGCATTCCTTCTTATGGAAAGTACTGTAGCACAGGATTTGGGGTAAATGCGGGACTATAACAGTCCATAACTTCTCTGACCTTACTGAAACTTCAGTGAGGACTTATTTCTAAAGATGCAGTATTTGAGTTGAGTGTCCCAGGGTAAGTAGAACCACTTCAAGTAAATAAAAGATTGAACAAAGTTGGGAAAAGCTTTCTGGTTTTCAGAGACAGGGGTTTCAGAGGAATTTAGTAATGATGAATGCTTTTCAAATACCTTGAAAAAGCTTTTTGCACCCAACTTGATAACATACTTTAGGGATGGAAATGCTGAGGGCAAAATGTTAGGAATATGGGACTTCCTTAAAATACTTCTGAATACAAAATAAATTAGATCTTGAAATATGGAGAAAATCTGCCAAATGCATCGTCTGTTACAGATTTTTGAGCTAAAGCCTGCTTGCGTAATGTCATGGCTGTATGTGGGGCATCCTTGGCGTTTCTGATGTGAGTGCGTGGTGGGTCAGATGAGGGAGATGACTCCTCTAGAACAGGCGTCTTCTGTGTTCTCATAATTGCAACCATGTTACTTCATTTCTGTCCAACGGTCAAGTTTCATAATAAAAATGGTGCTAGGTTGCATGTAGTTACATAAAGCGACATGTAAGCCATAGAAGGCAGTCTATGACTTTGTTCATATGCCATGTCAAGCGATGTTTTGTGACTTAGTTTTTAAAGGAATTGAAGTAAAAATGAAGATTTTTGATTTGCCATGTGTGGTGTGTGATGCTGACTGGGAACTAAACGGAAGGGCCAGTTCAGAAGCTGACACCTTAGTGATCACATTAGAAACAAACTAATGAAACAAGATAACTAACATTATTTAAACTTTTACAATTAATAAGATACAATTCTGTTGCAAGTTGTACTGACAAAAGAAAAACACATTGACTTTTTTCTGGATTGATTCAAGAGCATTCAATTTGGCCTAATATGATTAAGATGTTTAAAAAGAATCTAAACAAAAGTAATATATTTTCTTCTATAAAGCTGCTACAATTGTGACAGTAATTTTGTTTAGGAAGCATTCGTAAAAGGGAACTTTTGTATTCACTCTGAATCTTACATGACGAGAATTTTGTTTACAGTCCTTTCAGAAACAATCAGCTTTTTAACATTGGCGTCCTTAATGATTTTTTAAGAAAAGGATTGATCTTAAATTTGTGTGTATGCTATTATAAATAAATATGGTTTACAGTCCTCTTGGACAATTTGTTTTTCCCACATGTCCTTAATCCTTTATCTCGAAAGGATCCATCTTAACCATTTGTATAGTAAGTATGTCAGCAAATTTTTTTTTTAATAAAAAAAAACCAGAATGAAGAATTCCAAAGTCAGGGTGGGGGTTGAGGTAAGGAAATTATGTAACTACAGTGTTACTGTTACATTTGATATCAAACGTCTGCAAATCTGTTAAGCTTTATTTGAGTTATTCACAACCTGTAAATAAGGGCCCTCGTGTCATTAAAATTGTGTGGAAACAACGTTTGAGTATGTAATTGCGTCTTCAGCACAAAGCATGTTTTAATGGTTCTGCCATAAAGGTAATGTGGTCATTAACGCAGGATTCAGTATGCTTCCTGGCTTTCAGTGGTAATGTTCTGCCCACAAAATTGATGTCAAAAGTACTGAATACTTTGTATATGTATTTTCACTTTACCAAATTGTGAAGTTGGGTTATTTTGTATGTGTTGGGGGGAGGGCAAGACACAATCCCAGAAACCTAATAAACTGGCTTTGCCACAAACTGTTATCACTTGTTTTTAATAATTATACTAGGAATGATGATATAATTTCTTACACTAAAATGCAGAAAAAACCTGTAAGGGAGGAAAAAGAGTTTCTAGTATGTGTGGGTGACAATTTTGTGAAAGACTGTTGCAATACTTGGACTATTGTCAGTGCTTTCTTGCCATGACTCTGAGTTGTTTTGGAGCACCTGAAGCACCCACCGGATGATTCAGAGGCATGTTCAGGATTTATTTCAGATTCCAGAAGAATGGGAAGTGATACAAGAGTTACAAAACTCAGAATTACTGACCCTTGGATGTATGTCAAGGCCTGAAAGGACTCTTCTCTATTACCTTCTGTTAGTCTCACCTCGTGTTCAGAAATAAAAGCTCTTAACTTCACATACAGGTGGGGTGACTTTGTTACCTCAAAAGTCACTCTTGCAGGTTTCTGTATGTGTATACATGCACACACGTGTGCGCTCGCACACACACGGAGCACGGCTTCACTTCCAGTCAAGATGGCTTTTTAGTAAATACCATAGCCCTTTCCCCACCAAGGAGCTCTCAAATCATTTCTGTTACAGAATGTTTCACTGCTGTCCCATTTATGCTCCTCTTCTAGTTCCACACTTAGTAGTGTATTAAAAACAAAAGGGTGCTTAGTAGCTGGCCAGGGATAAACCACAAGGGTAAAACACCTTTTGGAGATGATTTGCGTTTTTAAATATCATTGCAGTCATAACTGCTCTCACAGGCTGTGAATTCTGCGGAATGATTAAAAGAACGTGTCTATTGAGTGTGTATGCCTTGTGCTTTTGGACCCTAGGACTGACCAGAAGGGACCTTGGTCGACTGCAGTTGTGAGCCCTCGTCCCAGACCGATACTAATTGTGTCATCAAACCGCTTCGGAAGGAAGCGACTTTCAACTTGGGAAGGCAAGAGGCTGACATACAAACTCGAGATGCGTCCTCATATTCATGCGTATACTGGCTGTGCGTTAGGGTTTTCTTGGTGTTCTTTAATGTCTCATCTCATGTCTGCATCACGGCGCTATAGCTAAGAAACATGGGGGATTTCATGTGTACTGTAACCTCCCCAAAGCAAAAAACTGATCCAATAAAGGGTCTAAAGTATATAGTCATTAAAGAATTCGAAAGATGAAATAGCTCCAACCTTGTAATTTTTTCCAGCTTTATAAACCAATCATTTTAAAAGATAGCTTGCCAGATGTAGTGAGAATAGATGAGGACCCTGAATGAAAGTGATACCGTTCACTTTAATGTTACTTCACCTTGAGAATATGGCTTAATGATCTAAAAATTAGCTAAGCTCCGGCTTTGATGGAAGGGAGTAATGTGGGCGTCCGTACACGACTGAAGGTAGAGGCAGCCCTGCCTCCTGCTCCCTCTTTGACCTTCGCCACCACCCTTGGTGACTCACGGTTCCCAGGTAAAAAGTAGAGCTCTGTGTCATTTTAACATCATAGCAATGTAGCTTTTAAAATGGCAGTCTGGTTTTCTGTGCAAATCAAGACAAAACTGACATGTAATCTTAAATCTGAAGTTGCAGATAACATCAGAAATGGGCATTATTCTAGGACTCACAAAAAAAAAAATGAAATGCTGTTTTGAGGGTGGGGGTGTCCATCTGTTGACACTGGACACCCGGAGGAGGTCTCTCAGCCGTCCGGCTGAATGGTGTGACGTGTCAGCAAGGGCTATGAAGTGACACTGAGAGGGAAAGAATTGCTGCTGGTTTCCAGTGATGTCCTGGGACTCGCGGGGCTCTGTGCAGCCTCCTAGCTGCAAACTCAGCTTTACAGAGGCTAACTTGCTTGAAGGCATCTCCTTGTAGATCAGGGAGGGATTTCCAGCGCCCAAAGGCAGGCATGCAAAATCTGCTAGCTGTCCAGGGACAGGCACTGAGGTGGTCATTGATGTGTAGTGTTTTCTGCCTTTGCTGAATCACCTCTGGTTAATGGGAATCTTGAATGAGCTAATCATTTAAACTGAATGAAAAGCAAATTTCCCAGCAATACCAATGAGCCTTTCAAGAAACTCATCATCCTGCCCTTCTCACCGCCGACAAACAACCTGGAATTGATGTGATGTGACTGAGGCCTGGGGGCTGAGGTACAGCGGCGGTCGCTGGCCAGAGACGTGGCTTGTGGTTGCTACCAAGAGCGAGCAGGTCAGGCCGGGTCTCGGGGTGAGCAGGCTGGGTGGCACACGCACTGTCTGACCGTGCCTTAGCACCAGCAGAAGCGGCACAGCCTTGGGCGAAGGCTGTT